TCTTTCCCTGTACAGTCCTAGGTATTCTCACTTAAGCAAGTGAAGGTCTTCCTGTCTTTTTGTCTGCCTGTCTGTTTGGGAATGAGTGGAGGAGGATGACAAATTAAATCTTTTACAGTGGCAGCCAAAGAGGATGCTCTCCAGACTGAGAGGTAACCAGTCTGCATAAAAAACAACAACCATGAGTCTAATGTTGAGCTGGCAAATTTTTCCGTGCATCAGAATCACAATCATATTAAAGAGACAGGTGGTCAAAAACACTAGAGAAATCACTGTGATTTATTCAATGCTTTCAGGGAATCCTAGACATATGTTGATGCTGGGAGAAGAGCTAAAAGCTTGATTTTTCAATGAGCAGGGAAAGAAGGGAGAATTTATCTGATGACCATGTGACTATAGGAAATGCAAATAGGGTGTGATGCACAGGGTTTTTTTGTTTGTTTTTTTTTTTTCAGACATGAGCATCACTTACATCTTAGTAGCAACGAGCCAAACCTGCAATGCAATGTATCCGGAGTAGCCATATTGAACATTCAGGTCAGCTTGATAGGTCTGAAACTGAAATAACCTAATTAGCTTTGAAAATAGCTGAAATCAATCATTTCATTTCTCTTAGAGCAAAGGACTTCCCAGAAGAGTTGAAGAAACAAGTATGCACAGATACCTAGGAAATAATGCACCTAGGAGTGATTTTGCGGATAACCTGGATTCAGCTCCAGCGTCTGCCATTGCTCTCTTGGGTGATGAGATGTAGTCACTATTCTCTCTCCCTGCCTCAGTTTTCCCTTCCAGAAAAGGGGCTAATCAATGCAGCTTTTGTGAAGCACCTATCAAGGAAAAATGCTCTTTAAAAACAGTTTCCTTCAACAGACGAGGCTCCAGCTATGTCTATAACAAAGTCAATGCCAAGACTACACATCACAGTCATATTCCTACTTCAGTTTCAGACTGTCTTGAAAAATCCTTCCTAAAAGCTAGGTGAATGGATTGAGCTGTTCATCTCCATGACTATTCTGCTGGCTGCAGCTGGGCTGCCTGTTTGAGTGCAGCGTATCTACAAAAGCTGAAGTCAACGGGATTACTTCATGAGTAAGGCACCCTCTCGTGCTAGGCATTTGCATTGCTCATAAAAAGCCTCCACACCTAGCAATTTGCTGCTAAACATAACAGAGAATAGTGGAGATGTTTCAACGCAGCCTTAGCGGCAGGTGGCTTAGCAATAATTAGTCACATTCTTCTCTTTTCACAAAGATCAGTTCATTCCATGTTATGTCTCTGCGGCTATCTTATTGATTAGTAATACATGGCACAACCCAGAGAAGCCACTCCTAGGCAAATGCAACTACTAGTTAATATACAGAAAAACATGCAATGAAAAAGTAACTGTGCAAACAAACTGCCTGAGGAAAGCAGAAAGCAGAGTCCACAGGGGGCAAACCGGTGTCATGTTCACTGGGTCACGTTCCCAGGAGCCAGCTCTCCAGCTTGCGATGCTCAGAGCTCTCCTGGTTCGGAGCAGAAGCGAGAGAGACTGTCCCAAGGCGACCTGAGCAAGAGAGTGGTACCAGGGAGCTCTCACATAAAACAGGCTGTCCTTGAGGGACGAAGCCCTACTCAGCAGAAGCCGTTAGTGGCATCACCTGCAGTAGGAGCTATACTTCATACAGCAGCAGCCAGTGCCACAGAGGAGCATCCAACTTGCAGACTGAATTAATTAATAGACTGCTATTCCATTGCTGTCTCTGCCAGCTGGCATGTCAATGCCTTTAATAGTATTATGGAAACCAGCCATTTGCTGGATACCTTTATGAGCTGAAGTAGCTTTCAAGACCCTTAGATTTAAAAAAAAACAAAAACAAAAAAAACCCCACACACCTGTGATGGACTTCCTCTCTTCCTGGGATAATGCAGTGTTAGTATTTGGGAAATCTCAATAATATTGATATCTATGTGCTTGAATGAAGGAATTTTTTCATTCCAAAAGACGTCTGATATTCCACCCTGCTGTTGAGAAAACATCAAGAATTGTAACATCATTTGTTTCATGTTCCTTCCAGTGATGATAAAACAGGTTTTTCCTATTGTAAGTGAACATTATGTTGGTTGTTTGTCTTATTTAGGTTATAAAAGGCTTGTCTTGAGATGTTTATTATTTACTCAATACTTAATTGCAGCACTGGCATATATTCACAAGAAGGCAAATACCAATTTTTATTATCAGTCAGGTGGTCCTGGTTTTTTTGTTTTATTTTGTTTTTTAGGCGGCAAGCAAACAAAATATCTTTGTTATGTTTCAAGCATTCATCGATCCTTAGGCAAAAATAGAGCAAAAGTTCAGAATAATATGACTGTTATATAATATACATACAGTCTTATTGTAGAATGGCTTTTGTCCATTTACAATTCTGATTGGCTGGTTGGGCAGAAGGAAATTAAGCCATAAAGAATAAGTTGCTATACATGACATTTCATTTTGGAATAAATGGGAACAGAAATGCACAGGCTGGGGTCTCCGTGCATTCATCTACCTGGGTATCCAGAAATGAAATGAAATGTCACATACAGCTGCCCAAGCCCTCCACAGCTTATTTCACTGTATCATTTCTGTAAAATATAGCATTAAAAGGAAATCCAAAACCTGGGCCAATGTTGCTTGAGCAGTTTCAGCATGATCGTGTTTTTTATCATGCAGATGACAGCTCTACTTTCTCTGTCTCTGCGCATTCCTTTTATGTCTGTCTGACTATCCTATCATTTAGCCCCGCACCAGAAGGGCAACAGTGTGTAATCTTGTTGTTTAGAAACTGGTCTGGAAGGTTCTCCCTAAGTTGAGGCTAGCTGAATAGTCCTGCTACTTGTATGTCTTTGAGCAGGTGACTAACTAACCACAGCATGACCACTCTGTGAGAAATCAAAACTATTCTCTGATCAGCACTTCTGTTTTCTTTTACTTAATTTTCCTTTTCTTGGTACAGGAACAACAATTAACAAGAGAGTGGAAAGCAAATAAGTCACTTAAAATACCCCATAACATTAAAAAGTACATATTTAAAATGCAGTTTGATAAGTAGCTCATTTATTCTTTTGCAGCCACTTTTGCTTTTTTCTGCAGTGAAAGAGAACATTTTCTTTTCATGGCCACTGGGATGCCAGCAGGGGGTTGGCTTCAATGAAAGCTACATTTAGCTGTAAATTTAGATGTGGTGCCAAACTGTCATGATTAAAGAACTGTATTACTTTGGGTCTTAAAAGGTGAACAGGAATACTATTAAGAAAAAATGGCATTGCTTTACATAGTGAGGCAAAACGTCCTCGTATGTATTGTTAGCAGACACTTCAGTCATTTTCTCCTAAGTGTAATTTTTTTTTTCCTTAAAAAAATTACATTGCATTGCTGCTCCATTGCTGGTCTCCCGCATGGGGCCAGACCAAAGCCCACAGTAGTCCCTAGGACTCCATCTCTTCTCATCAACAGGTACTGGGAGGATTGGAAGCAAGATGTCCCAGCGGTGACTGTGCTAGTGAAATCAGCAGAATTCCTGATGGCTGCTGAAGTGTGGAGCCTGCTGATATGAAAAGAGGAAGACAGATTGTCTTTCCCTGGAGTTGGTAAAAACATTTTCAAAGCATTTATAAGCTGAAAAACAGCATCTCTTCTGTTCATGAGAATATGTATCTCTCTCTCTCTCTCTCTCTCTCTGTGTGTGTGTGTAATTGTGGTGTTTTTTTTTTTTTTAAAAACAAAAATCCCTACCTACCTGGTCACATTTCAGGAATCTATTGAGCTTTAGTCAAAATAGAATAGAAGTTCAAAATAAAGTGAGTTTGCTCATAGAAGGCTTTTGTCTCTCTGTAATTCTGACTGAATGGTTGGGCAAGAATGTGTTCATCCATGAAGACTACACCTTAATCTCTTGCTTGTCTATTGAGTATTATATTGTATATCGTATGTCTGCGTATTGGGTAGATTATTTTGTTATATATACTTTCAAATATTTATATATTAATTTATGTATACAAATAACTGCACCAATTTATAATAAAGGTCAATTTATATTTATACCAAATATGTCATTTTGTGTTTGCATACAAAGATGTGTACTTATTTACACACACACACAGATATATACAAACATACGTACTTTTATATATATTTATATGTATGTGTATCTGTCCTTTGAAACTGAGTGGATCAGGTACCATCCATGCTATCACGTCTCCTTCCTGCTATCTTTATCCTGAATACATCATCTGTTTTAATATCCTCATTATTCTTATTATTAATACTGCTCTTTCTTTAGATATCATTGATTACCTCAGTGAGATGCAGTAAAAAAAAAATTTCACAGGTAAAAGAGTCTCAACTTGGGGAATTTTACTTTAGTTAATTTATTTCCAAGCAGCACAAACCTATGATTACAGATTTGGGTATTGAGAAAAAGGAAAACACAATTAGCTACATAAAAATCTATCTTCCCCTTTCTATGGTCTCAGTTTTCCTTATTTGCGCTATGGGTTACAACCAGTCTATCTTTGTCCCAGCATGGGTGCCCCATGGCTGTGGTCCCTTGGGGATGTCCGTACTTCCTTTGGCATGGCGTTTCCCCCTCAATCACCCATGTACGTGCTTCCAGCCATAGGGACTGCTGGTTTCTTTCCAAAATATGTCTGAGCAGGGACACTCTGTGTTTCGCCAATTGGATAAAATTTTGGTGCGTAGTGGTGAAGTTTTGGCACATGGCACAAACATTGACACCACACTTGAAGGCCCGTGACCTCTCCCAGCCCAAGCCACCACTGCCACCCCTTACCATTATACCCTCTAGCATATGCCCCAATCTATAACACATGACCCTTACAAATTCCATCCCTTACCCCTGCAAAATAGTTAATGATGATAGCCTTATAGCTGTGAAAGCCTATAGCTGTTATACATATAGCCCTTACAGCAGTCAAATGAGTCCCACAGTCCAGGCTGTGTGCAAAAACAGATGCATGGACTGAGGTATTGCTATGCATACCTGGCCCTGAAGAGACCCGTGCACAAGCTTGTTTCTGCAATTCACAAAGAATAGGGCAATGGCTGAGGTTCTTCTATAGGGTCCAAGTATCAAGCGTAAATATTCAATTATTCACTAGATAGGAAAATATTGAACATTTTCCAATGTCATAGTGAATGTAGTGAACTGAAAGGAGAGCAGGAATCGGTATCCCCAATGTTGGTCCAGCACCCATGAGGAATGGGAAAGATGCTGGCAACTTCAGTTAGAGAACAAATACAGGAAATGTTACCCAGGAGAGTGGCGTAGCTATCGTATGTGAAGATGTGGGCCAGTAGACCTGACCAGGCCAGCGCAGACCCTGACCAAACTATAAAGCTGAAGGAAATCAGGCAGAGCACTGGGGACAGGATGCAGAAAGGACCACCTGATCCACACTACACAGTGATGCTTTGTGTGAAGAGTGAATCAGTGCTGAAAATAATATGCACTCTTCTCAAGCAGATATTTGTTTCTGTGGGTGCTAACCCAGGTGCCTGGGTAGGCTAAGATCCTACACTGCTGTCCCTGCTGTGGCTGCCAAAGACCCTTGTTAGAGGCTCTAGCGAATGAGCTCCTCCACTGGGATCATATATTATGTTTGTGATGTGCGCTGCATTTCCTTGCGTGCAAGTGTCATGCACCCCAAACACCTGAGCTACCTATGCAGGATGAGGCAGGTATGTGCATCTCCTTAAGAAATGAAGAAAAAAGGGGAAAATAATGTGCTGAGCGTTTCTGAGGTCAGGGAGCAAAAGTAGAGCAGTGAGAGTTTTTCTGCCAGCACAGGGTGGGAATCTTCACTGTGCTAAAGTCAGGGCTGTGGAGGCATCCTCAGGGGCTGAGACTCAAAGCTGTGAACTCAACCGGGATAAAAGCTGGCCACATAACTGCCTTTGCCCCCCACAGCTGCCCAGCAGCAGTGTGACGCAATGAACCCAGCTTTTCAGGCCTTCCCACGCTCTCCACGCCAGCGCCAGCCCCTTTCTTTCACCACAATAGGAGCAGCCTTCCCTTGCTCCAGCTTTGTTTCTCCCGCTTGGGAGGCACATTTCAGTACAGCATTCAGGAGCCTTAATCCATCTCTGCACCAGGCTACTGGCCAGCAGCTGAGGCTTTTTTTTTACTGGCCAGCGGCTATGTCCTTCCTGTCCTGACTCTGCCTTTGGTGATGCGCCAGCTATCTGCTCCAGCTCCAAAGATGTATTTGTGTTGACTGCACCTCCATAGTCAATCTCTGACTGGCAACATGGACTTTTACTGTTCTCTGTTTCTGTGACTGGCTGATTTACGTCTGGTCTGAGACCTGCTCACCATTTCCTTGAAGCCCGCTGTCTACCCTCTCTAATGCATTTGCGGCAGCAAACTATCCCTCCCTCTCCTTAGCAAGAACAGTCCTGGCTTGTCAATCTCTGCGCAAGGCTATCTGTGAAAAGATGTAATGTGGTGACCCAAAATTTTAAGGTAGTGATGATCCCTTCCAGTCTGCTTTGCTTTGGCTAGCATGTTGTTTTTAAAGCTCTCCTGTTCAAAATGCTCCTTTCCAAACACAAATCCTGTCTGAGTGTCCTCTAGGTGGTCTCCACAAGTCAACAGAACAGTACTGAGCTGTGATCTCTGCTGTACCTAGAAAAAGTGAATAGGCTTCCTTATATTTTGAGAGGTGGAGAATACATGATGAGGCTGCAATGTGCTTCTGCTGATCCTCTCTCTCATTATACATCTTCCACTATTTCATGCACAGGCTGAACTAGTAATCTGTGCTACATATGCTGACTTTTTTCAGTACCTGTCTTATCTCATGACAGCAGGTATAACTGCTTGGCCCCAATAAACAAAAATCATTTATTGCACATACCAATCCTATCTTTTACATGATAGAAATATCTTTTGCATTCGATCCTTGAAATCTGGCCAGTCCTGGATAAATAGGTGGTTTCTATGGCTCCTGCTTGCTTCATGCTCCCTTTGACCACCTGGGTCCTGCCCTCTGAAGTACATAAACGAGCCATTTGCAAGTATCATACACGTTGAGGTGCTTTCTCCCATTTATGCCTTTCCTGCGAAGGACTTGCTCTTCATCTCGTGAGGTCTTAAAGACAAAGGTATTAGGTGCATTTGGCAATGGCTTCTTTGTGATCTTTTCTAATGGCCTGTGGTCAGACTGTGCATCCTTCCTATGCCTGGAGGTGCCATACTGGCAGCTCGTTCTGTTCCAAGGAGAAGAGCCAGCAGTTTCTTTTTCACCTGGCAAATCCTTTGCTTGTGCATCCTGGGCCTTCTTTTGGCAAATGTGTTTGCTGGTCAGTGGTTTTGCATCGCTGCTGTTCTCAGGCTCCCCTGCAATCCCAAACTTGAGATGCAGCTGGCATGCAGGGCTGTAACACTGGAGACGTGCTGTTGACTTTGGGCTTTCCCTAAACCTATAGATGCTCCTCCTTTAGTCCTTCTCCACTCATTACATAGTGACTGTTTTAACAGTTCTTAGGCTTCTGATATGTGATGTGCTCATCTGTGGGTGGCAAACCTTTTGGGTATTGGCAGCAAATTTAGTTTAAAAAGTGGCACAACTGCCTTATTACTGGTGGTGCCAAGACTAACCTCCGTCAGTGTCAAATTTGGTAGCAATGCTAAGGATTTACCATTTGTACCCTAACTTGAGTTCTAGATCTATTCTCTTCCTTTTAATCAAATGTTGTCCATTTAGTCCTTTTCCCTTTGTGCTTAACCATGTCCTGAGGAACCCCATTCTCTTTATGGCTCTGAATCAAGACAGGCAGTTCTATTCTCTCTTTAAATCCTAGCCTTGGATGGTTAAATTTCTTCTTTTCACCTTCCTCTTCTTTTCACCTTCCTCTCTTCCTGAAGAGAGGAAACAGACAGTGTGCATCCGATTAAATGCTGCCACGACACATGGTTTCTGTTCGTATGCAGTAGATCCACATGCATGTGCAGGAAACTATGTTGGCTTCTGGTAGAATGAGCCTGTGGACAACGCATGTCCATTTATTGTAGGTAAGTGATTTTTCTTTCTTATTTTCACTCTATGCTGTGGAGTTTTTCATTGATATTTCCTACCTACCTTGCAATAATTGTGAGAAAATTAATCAGTAAATGTTTGCAAAACGCTCCACACATAAAACTGCTAGATAAGTACTAAGTGTTATTTCAATTAGAATTAATAACAACAATAGGACTAGACTAAGATCCTTTCCATGGGCATAATACGCGTTTTCAGAGGGAGAACTTAAACTGACCTGCATATTTAGCAAGTTACAGCTACCTAGTGTAGATAATCACAAATAAATTACTGCCAGGGTTCTAAAAGTAATTGAAAACCTCGTTAATAAATTTAGTGAAGAAGAGAAAAAAGCCCCATCTAAAAAACAAAAACTAGCTCAGCCAGCCATCCCAGGGGTTG